CACCTTTAAAAAAAATAAAAAAAAAAAAAAAAAAAAATCCCATTTTCATCCAGCTGATGTCCACCAGCTCCTGAGTTGGGCTACTATGTACAATTCCACTACCCAGAGAGGGCTTGGTGGAGATCAGAGATAAGATGGAGTCAGAGTCCACATAAATATATTGTGCCTCCAGTTTTACTTCCTCAAAGCTCAGTCCTCCCAGAGGGGTGTTGAAATACAAAAGCACCCAACGTACCTGAAAAGGCTTCTTCTGGTGGTGGGTACCGACCCTCAGCTCCCCGGCAGTGCGCGTGTGTATGGGGTAGGGGGGATGCTGGGGACAAATCCAGCGCGTCCCCACCACCGCCGGGACACGCAGGACCTGCGGCATACGGCAGGCGGTACGGCAGCTGCAGCTCATCGGACGAATCACGAGTCAGGAAATGAGGAAATGCTCTGATTTCATTTTCACTTAGCTGGGAACTGGGCTTGCCATGCCGGTCATGGGGTTATTTGAAGCAGGACCCTCAATACCATCAGAAAATGATTGCAGCTGAGAGTTTCCTATTTCCAGCACCCCAAATATTAATGGCAAGGCTCTCACGGTGGTTTATGAAGCTTGTGGGGCCAGCGGGCAGGAGCAGGAGTCACACTCCTTTGATACGATTTTTGCATTTCTGTGACTTGGTGCTGAGCTAAGAGTCAGGATGAGGTCAAGCACAGAACCTTGCTACTGGTTTGAACTGGGTAGACCTGAGCTCCCATCTCACCGCAGCTGTGTACCAACCAGACCAAAGCCAGCTCTTAGGAAAAAAAAAAAAAATCACATTTTTTCACTTTTCGGTGGGGTAGCAGAGATGGGAAGACGTTGTTTAAATACAGTCATGGGATGGAGCTGAGCCAGCCAACCTCAGCGCTGCATGGACGGCAGGACACACATTTAATGCACGTTACATTGCAGTCAGGCTGAAAACACAGCAAGCAAAGTCTCCAGCTGCCTGGAAATCACACTCCAGCCTCCGGTCAGGGCATCCTCTGCGTTCCCATGAAGGACAGCCAGGCAGGAGGGTGCATTTCTCACCACTACGAAGCACCATGGGACATAAAATGGCTGCAAGAAACCTTCTAAGAGAAGAGGAGGAAGCAAAACAGTGTCTCAAGAGCTTTGAAGATGCAGCTGAGTCATTTTCTAAAAAGCTGCCGGAGATTGCAAGAGTTAGCAATGACAACAGAGAGCCCTCCACCTAAATAATTGAAATAATTCCCAACAGATTATCCCTTATTAGTGGATAAGTTCCTGGGGAGGGTGAATGAGATGGTCATACTTGATGAGACGCTTGAACAAGCCAACTGCGATCGCTCCTAATTTCTGCTGCCTATCTGTAGAAATCCAATGGGATTCCTCAAGGAGGGAAGGTTGGAGTAGAGCCAGGCACACTCGAGATCAGCAGGGTGAGTGGTGGCATCTCAAGAGCTTGTCCCGAAAGCAGGGAACCCTCTAGATCTGGGGGTAAGCACCGTAGCTGGCAATCCCGCAGTGGTTTCCACGGTTCCTCGCCATCCGGATATAGCCCTGGTCACCAAAATGCACACCCCAACTTTTGGAAGAAGAAAGAAGCAAAAATTAGACAACAGGAGGTAACTGCCGCCTTCCGCACCACCCCTCACCTCACTTTTTTCTCTCCCCATCCCTTTCTAAAAATTCTTTTTTCAACTCATGCTTCCTCCCCTGCAGCCACAGGAATAGCCAAATTTGCATCTTTTGGCCAAAAAGGCTGAACCTCCTGACTGCTTCCCTGCCAGATTTTGCGGACGCTAACTCTTCTAAGGGGGGGGCAGAGGAAAATCACATATTTTCTATGTGCTGGAGTGAGTCAAAACCACCAGGGAAATACCAGATAAAGGTGAATGAATTTGTTTTGTATATTAAAAATACATGTTCGTTTTTTTAAAAAATCCTACCAAGGCCAGAGATGAGAGACAGAGGAGGAAACTGGTGGATTTTTAGCCCGGCCCTGACATGAGGATAAAGGAGCTTTGTTGACAGAACTGCCCACAGTTGGGGTTTTTTTTGTTGTTGTTTTTAAAAAAGATAATGGTTTTCAGTTGCTGAACGTAGCTTTGCTGACATTGCAAGTTTTTTTTTTTTTTCCAGAGATGTGTCTGTCTGAGCAGAATTCTTTCATTTCAACACTTTGTTTCTTCTTGTTCTGCGTTTTAAACAGTGAAAGACATGTTCACAAATACATTTTAATGCAAGGGGCAGCCCGGCTGCAATGACCCTTGAGGCTGTGCCTCCAAATTGGCCCAAGGAGGGGGTTCGCTGGTGTGTCTCCAAATCAAACCAGCTCGGTTTCTCTCTCCAAGAAGCACCAGCCCTTTGTGCTGACTCAGCATCCAGGAACGCTGGAAACCCTGGAGTTTCCCGCAGAGCAGAAATCCCATTTTTTGAGCCAGCGCTGAGGAGTCAGGCGGGAACGTTTTGGGTGACGTACGTCAACTTGGGTTTATAGGGCGTAATCAGGGGCCCTTTACACCACAGTTGCGATGGAGCTGAGCCCTAAACGTACCTAAAAAAAGCTGATGGGCATCTAAAAGTGCACCGCTGGCACATCTTTGAAACCTTCAGGGTGGCCCTCAGAGAGGAGGCTGAAAGGAAAAGCTGCTCAGCGACTGGGTTTGCTGTACCTGTTTTTCACGAGCCAGTAGTCCTCCCCATCCGAAGAGCCGTAGCCGATGACGAGCACGGCGTGATTCACCACCTGAGAGCAGCTCGGGTCATGGTAGATACCTGGAAGGCATTTGGAAACAGCCTTTGGACAACTTGCCCGAAGTCACTGCCCAAATGGGAATTAAATTCACTCTTTGGGAGGTGCCACCGATGCCTGTCGCCAAGAATGAGGGCAACACAAGCTAAATGCAAGTCAAAGCTGAAAGAATTTATATTTAAGGAAGTTGGGTCATGGGAAGGAAAGCACATCCCTTTCTTGCGATCCCCTGAAGACCCACCAGCTTTGTACAAGAAGAAGGTGGGCTGCTTGGCATCAATGCTGACAGAGATGGGTCCCACATTGGCGACGGCATCCTTCAGCGCGGCTTCATCGCCGTGTGGCAGGTCGACGTACCTGGAACACGTGGCTGCTCGCGCCGTCAGGTTGTAGCGGCACGCACCGTCCTGACAAATGAAGGGGGAAAGCGTGTCAGATCCTGCACAGAGTCCTGCTCTGCGTTTTGTGAGTCAGAACTGATGCTCTTGGCATTAAAGACAGATAACTCCATGGTTTTCCAAAGTGGATTTCCTCTGGAAGCAACAGGACTATTAATTCCTCCATTTTAAGCTGAGCCAACCTAAGCGATGCCCAGGTCTGATGCCTACCTGAGCTGTGTAGGGGTAGGAATCGTCTGAGTCAATCCCTTGGTTGTCGATGATGTACTGGAAAGCTTTGGTTCTCCATCCGCCACCGCAGCCTTTGTTCCCATAGCTCCTGGTGCAGTCAACGAGGTTCTGGGCGCTCAGGGACACCAGCTTCCCCGTCTTCAGCTTCACCTGGGCTTCGAGGGCTCCCACAGCGCTGAACGCCCAGCACGACCCACAGGCACCCTGCAAAAGCCCCAGAGATGCTCAGATGCTGCCCCACGGGACCAAGACACGGGGAGGCACAGAGAGAGCTTCAAACCTGGTTCTTCACATCCGTGACGCATCCCTTCTCCCTCCAGTCCACCGTGTCCGGGACTTTGCTGCCAGGCTGCAGTCGGTACGTGGAGGTCTGGTTTGGCCGAGGAGCAACGTTCAGCCCAGTTAACAAAGCCGCCACTTCCTCACTGGTCTGGTGGGAAGGAGCACAGAGGCGTTCGCAACGTGCCGAGGTTTACCTTGCACGACAGGAGAGCAGATCCATCCACGCATCCCACCCCGCCAGAAGGACCAGGTTTGTCCTTGCAGCCTCCGGGGACTGATGCATGCGGTTGTGGCACCGCCAACACTGTGCGTTCCACCCCCTCGACCAAACGCATGACTCCATGCTCGAGCCTCGCGGCGCGGCCGGCACCTACCATGTCTGCCAGGTGGTTCATGCCCAGCTCGTAGGAGTGCAGCCCCAGGGAGTGCTCCAGATTATGCAGCATCACGAGTCGCAGGTTCCTCTCCCACGTCACACGCCGGTCCCCTTCCTCTTTCTGAAATCAAACGCAGCCTCATGGTGTAGGAACAGCCCCCGCAGCCATTTCACCCCATTTTATCCCACAAAAGGTTGTCGGGAGCCCCTGCCAAACCACCCCTGGGAACCAGCAGTGCTTCGAAGCGCAGTCGGCTCTTCTCCCCGCTGTGTGATGCGGCAGATGGTCGTGGTGGAGCAGCACCCACCACGTCAACGCCCCAAGCCACCTCCACCCCCCAAGATGCCCCTACCTCGTGGCGGTACTC